TATGAAAACAAAAACCAGCTGTTAACAGGTTAATGTCACATTTCCCATTCCATGACTAGTAAAATAATCGCAATTTACTCTCTGTAAAATAGCGTAATCCGCAGTGTGATGGACACGGAGATGGGTAAAAAGGTTGGTGGCTACACATTCTGCAGATTGGGCTTAAGGGGGTCGCACACCGGTGTGGTGCCGAATTCTGACCCCCGCCAAATTATTACCCCCCTAGTATTGGTAGGTTTAGGATTAGTTGTGGGGGAGGGGTTAGGATTAGGGGTGGGGTTAGGATTAGGCAATCAGGTACTGACTTCAATGAGGGGGGTAATAATTTGGCAGGGAGTCGAAATTCGGCACAACACCGGACGAGAAGCGCAGCTCCGCGCCGCGTCGCGTGTAGCACACCTGATGCGCACTTTCTCAGTTCATGGCCAGCAATATTGTTATGTTTAAGGGCATTATGAAATTAAGATCATGTCTGTAGGCTACAATGTTATGATTGTACTGTACAATTAAATACAATCGTTGCTAAGTCTGCAGTCTGAACACTTTACCTCCGTCAGAGCGCATCCGTTAACTGAATGATTTGAGAATCTCACCTGAAAATCCGAGCCATTGCTGGGCGTCGCGGACAGATGCCGAATGGTGCCGGTGGTGTGTGTAAACTCCTAGAAAATAATGTGTTCGAATTTTAAAGAATTCGCTTCTCGTCCGGTGTGCGACCCCCTTTAAAGTGCTGTTTTCTTTGAAGCCGAAGAACTCCCATACCAGAGTGGCTGCGCGGGCGCGGGATGCGTCTTCTTCTCATTTGATATGTCAGCGGGTGCAATACTGCCACCTCAACTGGCGCTGGAGTATACGTGTCATGTTATAATAAAAGTCCTATTCATTTTAAACATCGTGGTTATCGCCAATACCGGTATATTGCCACACTCTAAATTAACACGATGTCGATATTTCAAGCTTTGAATATCACGATTATCGTCAATACCGGTATATTGCGACACCCCTAATTTGAGGTTTTATTTTTAGGATCCGATGTTGTGATGTCTATAACAGAGCCGGAGCCCTGGATGAGCCCAGCTTTAATGAGTTTCCTCCATCAGGCTACCCTGTAGTGTCACCACTAACACCTCAGCAGAGCTTCGAATGATAGCAGTCGACATTGACTCTCTTGAGGTTCTATTTGGAGCACAACACATTCCTTACCAGGGTAAAACTGAATTCGGGACTTAATAGGAGGGAATGGGGAAAAAACTGAATTTGAGAGAGGTCATGGCCTCAGTCAACTGTACTCCCTCTGTCCTCCTCCTGTTCTCTTCTTGTCCCACAGCCCTCCCACAAGCCCAGTGCTAGATCCCCTTGCTAGCCACCTGCTAGATTTGTCCGTGGTGCTGCCACATGGTTAAGAGTCTATACCTGTTATACAAGGATTGCAGGTTAGGTCACATGGGAGGCTTTACCTGGGGGTTTGTTCATGAAGTAAAGCTAGTGGCCCGTTAAAGGGATAAATCACCTCGAATTATATATTCTGTCATTTATTTTAAGGCTGCTAACATTCTGTGATATATATATATATATATTAGGGCTGTCAGTTAAACGCGTTATTAACGGCGTTAACGCAAACCCATTTTAACGGTGTCAATTTTTTTATCGCGCGATTAACGGTCTTTTTGGCCTAGCAAACTTTGTAGTTTTTTTCACATGCTTTTGCAACAGGATGCGGCATGCGTGAGGACGTTATGTTGCTTCGCCAACCAAAGCGCAAGAGGATCTAGCTAGACCGGAAACAAAACAACAGGCACGACGCCGCACACACTTGTTTGGGCCAAATAGTTGGTTAACGTTACGTTTTGAGTGGATGACGAGCGCCAGACGCCGAAATGGAAAGTTTACTTTTAAAAAGTTGCCAAATGGTTCCATTGACAAGACCAAAGTGATCTCTGTGTTTTGTCGTTGTGAACTGAGCTAGCACGTCGAGTCTGAAATACCACTTGATGGCCAAGCACACACACACACAGCTGATCCGAATTCTCCGCCCCCTCGTCAATATCAGGACCTCGTCAGTATTTCTTTCACCCTTTTATTGATGGACAGTGTTACATTGTGTGAGTGATTATTTGCTCCAAGTGAGAATGTTAGTGTGAAATTGAACAAAGTATGCCAATGGTGTTTTCAATAAAAAATATTTGCACAAAGCAAGCCGATCCACTTTTCCATGTTGATAAGAGCATTAAAATGAGAAAAAATAATGGGACAAAAAGAAATCAAGAAACATTTAGAATAGATAAAAATGTGCGATCAATTGCGATTAATCGCGAGTTAACTATGACATTAATGCGATTAATCGCGATTAAATATTTTAATCGTTTGACAGCAATAATAATAATAATATATATATATATATATATATATATATATATATATATATATGCTCACAGTATATATATATATATATATGCTCACAGTATATATATATATATATATATATATATATATATATTGCACTATGAAAAATACATGAATTTTCAGCAGATGACTTGAATAGGAAAGAATTAATCATACAGTGATTGGGTTGAATTTGTTGTTGTGGTGAATCTGCAAAGAATAAAATATTATAAAAAAGTTTTTTTTTTTAATACTTTTTTACTCAGAAGACTTTTTTGAGTGTGAACCATCCTTTTAGGGCACACAAATCTGGGGTAAACTTAGTGTTGGGCACTTGGTTGCTTTCTTTACCAAGCCCCAACTCAATCCACTTTCGAGGAGCTTAAAAAAAACGTAGGCCACATAGGCCACAATCCCACTTTTTTGGCCAATTCAATATGACTTTAAAATAATATGATTTGTATTGTGATTATATGAAACAAAATCCACTTGTTAAATTGTGACATCAGGAATACCGTGTCCAATACAATCTCGACAGCTGTTTATGAGCACTATTCATTTATAGCCCAATTTTAAGCTTTTAAAAACCACAGTGTCCCAGACACCAATATTTTAATGATTCAGAACTGATGAATTACAGTCCAGCCAACTGTGACTTTTTTTTATTTATTTATTTTATACAATAGTAGCATTCCGTGAGTGTATATTAAAACTGCTTGTTATTTGCTTTTGGCATCTGATAGAGCGTTTGTACATGGAAACTGTGACATCAGACTTAAGCCAAATTTATACTTCTGCATCAAACTCACGCCGTAGCTACGTCGTAGGCTGTGTGTTGCACGCATAGCCTATGGCGTAACCTGATGTGCACCTCTCCAAAAATGTAACAACACGTCAATACGCGGACCGAAAGCGTTGTGATTGGTCTGCTAGAACCCCTCCCTCCCTCGGTCAACACGGACAACGATGCAGAAGTATAAATGAAAACCGAGGCGTAGCCTACAGCGTAGAGTCTGCTGCATAGAGCCTGCGGCGTAGGTCCGACTCAGAAGTATAAATCAGCCTGTAAAGGGATAGTTCATCCAAAAATGAAAAGTTGCTGTTAATTTACTCACCCTCAGGCCATCCAAGGTATAGCTGACCTTTTTTCTTCTGTAGAACAGTAACGATTACAGAGATAACAGTTTCTTCCCTAACGAGCACTTTAAAAGCGGGGTTCGTAACAATTGCACAGACCTATCTTTTCGCTTCATAAGACCTCAATGTATCATCAGGATCCATGGGTATTCATATTGTTTTTGCCTGTACATTTTTTTGGGTTTTTTTACTCCCAAAGTGACGGTAGCCATTGACTTGCTTTTAATAAATCATCAAGGACCACGATTTCAGCTAAAAATCTTCTTTACTGTTCTTCTGATAAAAAAAGACACCTTCATATCACAGCCGATATCGATTTTATTTCTATATCGTACAGACCTAATTTACTCCCTTTCATGTTGTTTAAAATCTATATGACTTTCTCTCCACTGCATGACACAAAATAAGATACAGTTGCTGGTACAGTTGTCACAGAACTCATTCTTCCCTTTTGTGAAAAAAGTTGTCAAACTTTTTTTTTTTTTTGGCATTTCTCTCAGAGGCTACCTCCGAGCGGTTGGGCTTCAGATGTGTGTGACTCAAATTCCCGGGTTTTGAGGGTATTGGTTGCGCTTCCTGCTGTCTGAGGACGGCTCAGCTAAAGATGGAGGCTCCCTTTGAGCTGGCCCCCTGGTACACCCCTCCTTATTGAGTCCTGAAATTTGGCTCACACAACATCCTGCAGTGTCGAGCCACCCTTAGCACCCGAAGTCATTGTTGAAACAGCACGACGTTGCGGCCCCCTGTCCTCAAATGACATCCAGAACCCCCTCTGATCAGCTTCCTGCTGTGTCTTCACGAGCCTCCAATAATATGGAATATCAACACAGCTCTTTGGGCTTGCCATTAAAAAAAACATCCCCAGACGCATCTCATGAGGGGAGGCCTGCGACTCGCTTGTGCATCGCTTTGGTACCAGCTCATTCATCAAACATGATTTCACAACTGTATAATTTCCGTGGCTTTGGAAAACAGAAGCAGCTGCTGTCTAGTTCTTGTTTGTCAATGGTGCTGTATGATTATGACTATTGATGTGGTTTTCTGTGTGAAAAATTGTAAATATTGACTGGCATCATTAGCAGATAAATGTGTATATAATTATAAGTATGTGAAGCATGAAAGAGTGTATGCTGTCATCTTTTGATGGATATATGGATTGACCGCAGGCAGCTAATCTACTGGCATTCATTACAGATGAACCAAATTTATTATAAATATGTTTTTATCAACTCTGGTGATGATTGATTTAATTACGAGAGAAGATGGAGTAGACGTTCAGTTTAAATAGTGTTTCATTACTGGAGAAAGAAAAAGTAAATTAACTGCTATGTGACTATGGACACAAATAGCTTTCAAATAAAACATGACTAAACAATTCTAAAAGTGTTTAAATAACTTTTAAATAACAACAAAAAAATGTAATTAGAAGTATTTTAAAAGTGATAACATTGATTCTTAAAGCTGTCTTTTAAACTTCCAAGGTAACAGCGATAATGAGAGAATTCAAATGGCCAATAAGAAAATTCCTTTCAAATATGCCCGGCCCGTAGAGGAATGGCTTCAGGAGAAAGGTAACTTCCTCCTCTCTTTTTATTTATTTATTTATTATTTATTTTATTTTTTCCATTATTACTTATCTCATTATAACTAAATAAATTTAGCTGAAGAGAAATGCATTGTATATTGTGTTGCACCAATCACATTTTTTCTTTTGCTTTTTCAACGCTCATTTATCTTTGTCAGACTAAATAATATATTCTTTGTTTAATGATTCTATATTGGCCTAGTAAACCTTTTATGAATGTTTTAAATGTAAACGTTAAAACAATTTAATTAAAACATAAACATCTCTTGACTTTCTGGCTGATAGATAGGAAGGTGGACAGACAAGGATTAGTGATTTTCCTATTACAGGCAGCAGCTTGTGGCAGCACGGGAAGTATCATCCGGGAAGAAAATGATAGCATGATTATTGTTTCAGACATTAATTGCATATCATCAGGAATCCTCCTCATTATAATCACTGGAATTAGGATGTTTTTTTTTTCTTATCGTAATCATGAAGAAATGAGGATTTCTGGACTTCTCAAACTTGAAATTGTTTATTTATTTACTTTTTTATGTATTGTGATCTGAAGCTTTTTATTCACAACCGCAGGATATTCACAAATTTATTTTTGCCTATTATTTAACTGATTCTTGAGACACATGACAAAACATGTTTGAAAACACCTTTCATCTGTCAGACTAAATAATATTAGTAACAATTCTGCTTTAATATGAATCAGAAATGATTGCAGAACTATCTCGACGTGAATCATTTAATTTTCTCTTTTTTCCATCAAAATTATCTGAAATAAAATGTTAAATACATTTTACTATATCACAATGTATCTAAAATAATTATTTGGTATTGGTTTCACTTCTGTAGCCCGTTTTGTCCCATGTCCCAAGAATCAGTGGTTTGTACATTATATGGTGTTTATAATCAAGATAACTTTTTAAGTCTTTTCCAGTAACAAAGTCTCTATAACCTTAATATTTCAGGATACTTTCATATGCTTGTCATAAGACATTTTGTTATTTATTAGTTAGGGTGATCTCTCCTCATAGAGACAATTATAGCAAAACGTACTTCAGCCATCATGAGCTCGTAGCTAGACTCATTCAGGGAGACATAATGGGTCTGGTTTATAGTCTGGCCCTCCAAATGTTTACGACGTGTCTCATGGTAGTATAACCCAGAGCATTTGGGAAGGAAATTAAGCCGTAGTAATCCAGCACAGCCATCTAAGTCATTGTACCTTGGTTGGGTAGGTTAAGTGCCCAAAACAGCTATGAATCTTGTTGCTGAACGAGATATTGTGTGCATTTACGGACCCATAACCAAGAAATATTCTGGATCTTTCTTGCATCCTCAGGGCGGCAGTTAACGATATTCAACACCCAGGCCACGATAACAATTGGTGGTTCAGACCGCAAGAGGCCTTTTCAGGGCCAACTCTCCGGACTCTACTACAATGGCCTCAAAGTGCTCAACATGGCTGCTCAGGGCAACCCTAACGTCAAAATCAACGGCAGCGTCCGTCTGGTGGGCGAGATTCCCGCCGCAGGTTCAGCCAGAACCACGGCTTTCCCCCCAGAGATGTCCACCACCTTTATCGAGACCACCACCACCATGTCCACCACCACCACGAGAAAACACCGAACTCCACCTACAATACAGGTACGACCCCTGACACACAAGCACAAATGAATGAAGGCCTCAGTTAAGGCTTCGATTTACTCACGGCAAAGTACTTCGCTTCGTGGTATAAAGACGCTGCTGGGAGTGACGTTTAGGTAAATATGCAAATATGTACTGTGTGCTTTACTCCCAATTACAAAAAAACGTGAGAGAACAGCAGTTAAGAAAGCATCTGATCATAGAGACGTGGATATGTTTACACAATCTCTGCTATTCGGCACTTCAGTTAAGTTACATTACGTTACAATAGATTGCTGTCAGTGTCTCTATCAGTAAGAACAACTTCAGTTTTTACTATAAAGCAGATTTCCAGTGTGTTCATGTTTTATCTTGCGTCTGACCTCAACGGACTGAACAGAAGAAAATAAACAGATATGATTTCCACGTCAAAGTAGGCGGAGCCCCAGAGCACATCTATTTATTATGTAATCACCAAGGACCAATGGTAGTTTGAAGATGTTTACCAGCCTGAGCAAACTTTTCTGGAACAGTTTTGTATGTTTCGTACTCCCGAAACGAACTCCAAACAAACTTAGTTTTGGCCCGATTTTGTTTGAAGTGGTCGTCAAACAAGGTCATTCTGTATTGTGCCTTTAGTCAACTGTTAGCTGTCAGACTAGTTCTTCAGACTCGTTCTTAACATATGGCTGTGTTTATGCGACTTGCATGTGTTTTTGCATGTGTGCCTACGTCTCCTCGTCATTTCTGGAAATTACACCACAAATAACGTCTGGCCCAGATTTACAGTTAAAAAAAAATGAGGACACAAATTTCTTGCAACACAACATGGAAAATAAATCTCCAGAATGGATTTTTAGGAGGTTTTCTGCACAGCTACACCTTCCATTCTGCAGAACGTCTCTGTGCTGCTGACAGCGTTGTCCTTAATTTATTACGCTTTCAGTTTGGTCCAATGATTTCCAAAGCACTTATTTGTCAAGCTTAGACCTATTTCTTCAGCTTTGAGTTTGCAGATGCAAATTGGCATTCAAATGAGAAACAATGATTGGACCATGCCCAGGTCACGTACGTCACATATGTGGACAGGTAAACACATTGCAACAACAATACATTGTGTCTGTGTGGGATGTCAAAGTCTAAATATGCAAAACAGAGGCTTTTGTTTCATTTAGGAGAACTCACTCAACCAGGTGTGTTTGAGTGATTTTCCAACAGTATGCAAACAACTTGCTCCAGTTAACGCAAGCCCAAGCGGTGTCCACAACGTAATTTTATTAAGGTCGAGAGCCTCTCTTTTATTTTGTTGTTTTTCATAACCAACGAGAATTGTTTATAATTCTCCAAGTCCTTTAGATAAAGATACGTGAGCGGGTGCACAAAGCCTCATTCGCATGCTCTTGACAACCAAACAGAGTGCCGCCCACATAAAGTTTGACCGGGAGCCAATAAAACACTGTGGTTTGGCAAAATGCGATTAGACTGGCCATTTCATAGGCATCCTGGTACAAATTGAGCTGGTGGAAGTGATATTAAAGCCATCAGTCTCCTCTGTGTCTGAGACACATTTTGGCAAGAGACATTTGTAATCATGAAGCCCCAACAGTTGACCGCATAAAGAAAGTTTACGACTGACTAATGCTAAGAGAATTGGGGCTGTAAATGTGTTCTTCCTACTCAGCACATTTGTTGAATTAAAATAGTACTTTATTTTGATTAAGGAATTAAATTAGTAGAGAATCAATTGTTAATTGCCTCATAATTCACAGTAACTTAAAGAAAACAGGAATAATATATAATATATATATTACCATCGCTGTCAGTGATGCACATTGTGCTTTTACTGTCATCATATTTGTGAAATGTGAGATTACAGTTCTTTTCTACCTTCAGGTCACAAGATAAATGGATCTCTGTTAAGAAAGAGAGCACATCCTAAACACGAGCTTTTCGGGCCCCAAATTCAGACCTGTGGTTTTCAAGAATGTCACACAGATGCTAGAGGGTGCTAAGTGTGGCGTCTCATTGGACAGAGAACCACGCAGATGGGAATTTCCACTAACATTAAGGCTGAAGTTGACCATGTCTGACTTTAGCTGGAAACTGTAGATGCTCAGTGAAGCATTAGACCACATTCCAATCTGAGCACAAACAGGCAAAACGCATGCAAACGCATGCAAACGCTGCGGTAATGAGAGGGCGTGCGTCTGCCTGGAGCGGAGCCATGATTGAGAATAAAACTATTCTCTCTGACGCACTCTGGAAAACATCACTGCTGTTGGACTTGTTTGCCTTATGAGGCTAATAGATGTTCAAGAAAACACAACCATGAATTGTTATCTGATCTAATGAACCAGTCACAGTTGCATATTGCGTACGAAAGGGTGAAAGATATGTGATGGTATTAGGGTGAGTCATTTTGTTGGCGTCATCTAACATGACTGGAATTAAGCTTTTGGAAATAGATAATGATACACCCACAGTAATTTCTAACATGTTTATTTATGTATTCATTTTATAAATCCTCATCCCACGCACATTGGCCCATCTTTGGACTCATTTTTGTCAGCATTCCTCTAAGACTTATGTTGCAGTGAATAGCATTTTCTGTTTACATTTTTTTGCCTTTTTTATTTTTCCTTTGTCACTCTGATAACAAAATAACAACAACAACAAAAAACATCATATGGCGAAAACTCAAAAGAACCAATCATCGAAATGGTTTTTATATTAACTGAAAATTGGCGGTACGTTATTGAGTGATGAGTTTGAAATGAGAATGAAGAACGAATACAGCCCTCATTCACAATCTTGAGGACGAATGGAGGATTGTGGGTACTTGAGCGGAATTGGCAGGAGGATTCTCATTAATTCCAATCAGTCTAGTAGGTCAACAGGCTGGAGGTCATGTTTGCTTTCTCATCTTAATTTGTGCAAACAGTATCAGTAAACAAGTGGTCTGTTACAGTTGGGGAAGTTATTTAATTGTGAACTGCAATCCCTACATGCATTGTGCTGGGATGAGAGATCTATTTTTAAGTAATTTGCATTTGCGTCGAACTGGAACAAGGTCTACGCGTTTTATTTGGCTTAATTAAGACCAGGGCTGTAGAGACGAAGCGAAGCCGGGCTTGTGTGGATCTCAGCGTAGAACTCTTTCGAGGTTTGCTTAAGTTGCTGTTCTTCAAAGAAATTCGACTGGAAGAGAGGTCTTGAGAGACAGTTCACAAGGAAGGGTTTTTCTTGTTTTAATCATGTTTAAGATAGGTGCAGAAACAAAAAAGATTAGCATAATGCGATTTATTGGCTTTGAATGATAGAGGAACAGCTCAGCATGATGAGGTGGTTAGCTTTAGCATTTCAGAAGCACAGAACATGTTGATTTTTAATAAAAAGGAAATTAATTACTGGTAATGTTTAAAAGAAGTCTCAGCTAGGTTGTAGCCTGATTTGATGTGGAAGTATCTTTATTTCATTAATATATCTGAGATTATTCGCCAGGCTGGGATGATGGTAAACCTCAAATATGAGGGGTGTGTTTTCCTCTGGGCGTCTGAATTATTGATGTAAGGTAGGTTAATTGAGCTGCACACATTTTCATATCAGAGGGGTGGGATGATGATATTCATTTCATTTCACATCTGAAGAAGGCTGAGGGACTACAACTGGTCTCGTATGTCCTTTTGCCCTCTAATAGCAGGGATATGGGGCATTTATGGTCGTTCCATCCCCAAATCACCAAATCCTTCTTCTTTGCTGTACCTCTGAAATGTAGTACATTAAAGAATTGTGTGCCAGGGGGATCAAACCCTAAGTGAGACACAGCAAATGATTTTCTCTTCGAATGAGCCCACTTAATGTTGTCATAAGTACATCAAATTCATTGTAAAAGTTTTATTTGAAACAACTTTTAAAACAGACTTGCTATTTAAATATTTTTAGGAATAGTTCTCTCAAAAAATGAAAATTGTTCCAAACTGCGTGAAACACAAGAATAATGAAGAAAAAAATTTAATGAGTGAGGGCTGATAAAATCACACACAAAAATCTATGTACTTATAATCCAAGTCTTACAGGCCATATTAAGGCTTTCTGTGTAGAACATTTTCACTAAAGAAAATAAATAAATAAAAAATAATTTATGATGTTCTTTTCAATGAATCAGTGAGTCGGTTAACAACCCACTGGAGGTCAACATTATCAATGAATTATGATTTTAATGAAAGTTTGTTTGTCAGACAAACATATGGCTTATAATCATATCATATGGACTACTTTTATATTTATATGATACTTTTATGGTGCATTTACATCCAGTCAACACTCATTGTAATAGCATGGAAAAGAGCGATCAGGGCGTTATTCAAATTCCTCCTTTTTCCATAGAAGAAATAATGAGTCATACGGATTTGGAACAACTTGAGTGTAATGTAAATGATGACAGAATTTTTTATTTTGATGTGAACTATCCCTATAATGCAATTTAATGATTTGAAAGCCTGCTTAAATCGATTTAAAGATGAATCACTACTGAATGCGCAAATTCTTCTAGCACAGTGAATGCAGATCTGGTCTTCATACGTTTCTACTGTGTCTGTTTATAAGTTGTAAAACACTGAATCAATGTATGTGGCCAATTCCAGGGAATGTTATCTGTCACCGTGCATCTGCTGCGCACAGCAGCTAGCATCTCTTGCTGTGTTGTTGCTGGGAGGACATGTCGAGAAACAAACAAATTACTGCAATGTTGTGATGTACCTCACAGAAACAACATGATTTTTTTCAGATTTAATTAAGCCGCCGCACTGGGACCCTCGTAATTGTCCACAATGGGAACAACTAATGGATATTTTTGCATATTAATTGCTTCCTCGTGAAGTGTAGAGTTAACAGAGGCTTAGCCGTTTTGGACTACAGCTTCTAATTATCACATAACTGAACAGATTTTAGCTTAAATCTAAATGAAAAAGTTTAAACGAAAAAAAACATATGCTGACTTTTACTATGTATGCATACCTTTA